AACACAAAGTTTGTTTTCTCAGTCATCCAGGTATATAACAACATACTGGATGACTGAGAAAACAAACTTTGTGTTTTTGAAACCATTAGTGAAAAGGCCAGACTTCAGGGGTATCTGAGGCAGGCTTGAAACACAAGAGTCAGAGTGGCTTCTGGGTAATACCAGATGGCTAGGCCTCAGACTGACGAAGCCTCTTGGATGAGGGGTGAAACGTTTCTTTTTAACAAAAAAAACGAAGTCCAGATGACATGATTCAACCTTTTTTGTTGTTATATACCTGGATGACTGAGAAAACAAACTTTGTGAATCATTTGAACAATTTAAACAATCAGAAAAGGCAGAAACTATTACATATAACAACATTATTTGATGTAACAATAATATATTTAAAATTAATGAAACATACAAAAATTAAAAATTTAAATGGCTGCAAAAATAAAACAAAGGTTGATCTAATCTGCTGTTCCAGTTGAATTAAATGTTCATTTTCTGTTCATTATGACCTTACAACTGACTCGTTTTCATGCACGTACTGGCATTTGTGTCTGTTCTGACAGTCGTTTACATGTAAACACTCGGTTTGTTGTTGTTGTTTACCTCAGGAGGAGCTCGAGTCCATCCCTCTCAGTAATGTCCAGGAGCTGAAGGCGGTGCTGGACGTCGAGGTGTTCGACTCTCTGCTCACCGTGTTCGTCCAGAACACAAGAAAACACACCAGCACCATCTTCATGTTCCAGTGTGACGAAGTCAGGGTGAGAACACACGCACGCACACACACCTGAACATGGCTGTGATCACATGTGAGAAATCACATGTGAGAAATCACACGTGAACGTTTCTTCTGGTTTTCAGGCTGATTATGTCCAGAAGAGTTTAACGCGAGCGCTTTTAGAGAGGAAAGACGATCCACGCCCCATGTACGGTAACATGGCGTGTACAAACACTGAACATGACGTGTACAAACACTGAACATGACATGTACAAACACTGAACATGATGTGTACAAACACTGTAGAAACTATGATTTATTTTTTTTAGTTTTCACATTAAAGTGCGTTTTTCTTTTGTTTTGAAACAGCTATGCAAAAGTTGTGAGCAGCAAGGAAAGAGCAAACGCTGCTGTTTATTCAGCTCCACCGAGGCCTGCTGCTGAAAACGGTGAGATTTTCTTTATCAGTGCAGCCTGATGAAATATCACGTCACTGTTGGATTATTTATTTCATTTAAAACTTTTCAGGTCTGCTGCAAGTTGGTTAAAATGACAGAGAAACTAACAGCAACAAACATTTATACATCTAATAAAAGCAGTTCAGTTTGTTCAGTTGAGAAATATTTTAATGGTTTCACTTCTTAGCTTCTGCTTTGGAAACTTGCACAAGCAATCATGACACTCCCTCCTCCGTGCTTCGCTGTCAGACCCATGAATTCACTCCAGATGTTCTGCAGGACCACAGGTCCAGTCAGGCTCATTTACGTTTACTGCATTCAGTGTCTGCCTCTATTGTCAGTAGACCTTTTGATTCTGATTGTTTGTGAACAGAACTACCATATTTGTCAAATTAAAGTGATAGTTCAGACCTTTTCAAGTGGAGTTCTGTAGAAAGGTTATGAACAATTAATATCTTACTTGTCTTCGATGGCTAAACATGTATACCAGTGAGTGAAAAAGGGTAATTTTGAATATTTTATGTTAAAGTGAAGTCACTTTCATATAAACTCACAGCTCCACCTGCAGCTGGTCTGATAGCATCTGCAGCACTTTTTAAAATTTCTTTTGGTCTGTTCGTCCAGTAGAGACTGAATCTCTTGAGTCTGAACTGGATCTGCCTCCGGATGAGGAGGAAGAGGAGCGAACATTGACCCCCAGGAAGAGGAGCCCATCACCGCAACCTTCCACCCGTCCACCTCTTCTCCGTTCGTACACAGAACGGGACCGGAACGTGGTTAGTTTTATATGATGAAGGAAATTCACAAGTCACCTTTGCATTCTGCACATTTGAAAAACATTTTATGGTATTTGTTGTTTTAATAGCTCTTCTTACTTTTCTTGAAGGATATTTTAAACCATATCATAGGAGACATAGAGATCTTCATGGGGAAAGTCGGTGCGATGGAAGCTAAAAATGGAAAGAAAAAAAGAAAAAAGAAAAAAGGACAAGGTAAGTCAATGTACAATGTATGCGCTTTAAACATACATACACCATACAACCAGCTTTCTAACTGTCAACAATGGCGTACCACAAGGCCCAGTATTAGGATCCACCCTTTTCACAATCTATATAAATAATGTAGGTCAGATCATTCCTGTTGCATCCTTAAATTTCTACAGTGACTATACTGTTGTTTATTGTCGAACTAGAACAGTTGTTAAGGTTTTCCAGCTTTTACAGTCTGACATCATCCAGTCAGATCTGTTCCGTCTCAAACTGATGCTAAATTTTGATAAAACCAAAGGGATGTTGTTTTCAAACAGGAAGTTGGTACCAGCAGTCCTTCCTTCTATCTTGTCTACGAATGGTGTTCCTAATGAGTTTGTCGATTCTTACAAATACTTGGGAGTCTTGGTTGATTTGCATCTCTTTTTCAGCCTCATGTCAAAAACTTGGTAAAGAAATTGAAAGTAAAACAGGGTTTCCTTTTCAGAAATAGAGCCTGTCTAACACTGAATGCTAGGAAAAGCCTTGTAACTGCTACTTTCCTTCCGTCCATTGACTACGATGACATTGTCTACATGAATGCTCCTACAAGCACCCTGCAGATGCTGGATGCTGTTTATAACGGTACACTAATATTCATAACTGGCTGTAACTACAGTACCCACCACTGCACCCTGTATTCACTGGTTAACTGGTCATCATTAACTTCACGCAGGCTCTCTCACTGGTACATTTTCATCTTTAAATCACTTCTTGGTCTGTTGCCTTCATACATCTCCTCCTACATGTCGCTGTGTGAGTGCAGCTACAGCGTGCGCTCTCAGGACATTATTACCTGCAGTGTCCCCTCAGTGCGGACCAAACTAGGCAAGGGCCTTCTCTTACGCCGCTCCTGCAACACCTTGCAAAAAGATCTGAAGTTGTCGACTGTTTTTTAGTATTTTACATCGCTTTATAATGTAGCTGTTTTTGTTTCGGTTTATGTCATTTTTTTACTTATCGTTTTGTATGTTTTTTTTTAATGATTGTCTATTGTTGTCTTTAACTCATCTGTGTTCTTTGTTTAAATCAGGTCTCTCTTGTAAATGAGTCCTCACGGCTCAATGAGACTAACCTGTATAAATAACGTTTGAATGAACATAAAATGCACTTTTACACACACTTTATGTGTGCTGTGTTTCATTTGGTTTTAGGTGCGAATGGCATGCCTTCTGATGAGGAATTCACAGAATGTCTTCGTAAAATCAAAAGTGGCTTCAATCTTCTGGTTCGTGTCTTTATTCACGCACAGTCCCTTCATCCCTCGTTCTCTCATTAACGCCACGTTGTGCAACTTTTTACAGGCAGAGCTCAACGGGAAGATCAATGACCCAAGTGCTCCTGAGCTCGTCCACTTCTTGTTCTCTGCTTTAACATACGTAAGCGACACTAAGTGTTTAGTTTCATTCAAGGATTTCTCAACTTTTGAAAGGTTGTATAACTGGAGGTCAGGTACAAAAAGTCTATGGGTGGTCTAAAACTTTTGAACACAACTGTTAATTTTTTCATGAGGGTCTTCTGCTTCAACCTGCTTCAGCAGATTGTTAGATGGAAACGCGTCTCGCTGCACTTCTGTCAACAGGTTGTTCATTTCCCCCCAGGTGGTGTCTCACTGCTCTGAAGCTCTGCCTCCGACCATCGTAGCCCCCCTGCTGAGCCCCGAGTGCATCCGTCTCCTGAGCGAGGAGGCGTCCACAGAGGAGGACCAGCTGTGGCAGACTCTGGGTGACGCCTGGAACATCCCCAGGTATGAGAAGACATTTGACAGCTTTCGTTCATTTCATAAGATCCAAGAACTGTTGCGCTCTTGTTGAAGTTACTGCTGTGAGGCGATGATCCATGTGGGCTTTGTCACTAGCACCAGATGGCCAGAGGAAGATGAAGACATCCCAACCTACACCCTGGAGTTCTCAGATGGCTGGCAGCCCCCTGAAGTTGTAGAGGCCCCCCTGCCGAACAACCCTGAACGCAGACGGCAGAGTCCACGACCTGCACCCAATCCACGACCTGCACCCAGTCCACAACCTGCACCCAATCCACGACCTGCACCCAGTCCACGACCTGCACCCAGTCCACAACCTGCACCCAGCACAAAACCTTCACATCCATCAGCAAACGGACCAAACCATCAGGTGAGGATCATTTCTAATCACATTCTCCTAATCCTAGTCAGAAGTAAAACAAAGCACTACAAGAGAGACTTTTGTTCTTCTGAGCAGACTCCTGCCAAGTGGAAGCCACCACCACCTCCACAGAAAACACGGTACACACACACAAACACACAGATTCTACTTCAGGGATGCTTCAAACTTTAACCTTTTTTTTTTTTCCAGCTTGAATGAGACCAAATTCCATCCCATGCGTGTGAAGCATGACTTCATTTCAAGGAACCACATAGAGCTCACTGTCAGGAGAGGAGAAACGGTGGAGGTGAACGTCTGCTTTTCTTCAATCCAAAGACTTGATGACACTGAAACAAATAATGATCCAAACAACTTTTTTCAAGGTTACATTCAGTTTCTGTTTGTCCGCAGCTGTTGGACAAGTCCAAGCAGTGGTGGAGAGTGAGGAACAGCAGCGGGGAGGAGGGATACGTCCCCAACAACGTCCTGGAAGCTGCTGACGAGCAGCCCGACACGGTGGGCGCCGCTCGCACACAAACACACCAGAACTGAAGCAGATCAGCAGAAGCTCAAGAGTCAAGAAACAGAAGGCCAACACACATGAAGTAAAAATCCATGTTTTGTTCTCTTAGCAAACTGAAGCAACTCCCGTCTTAACGAGGAGATCCAGACCACCAGAAGTGAAAGTGTGGCTCGAGGACAAGGGCTTCAGCCAAATGTAGGTCAATGCAGATCATAAACGTGTTTTTTTTAGAAGACTTCAAACGTTCATACATGACTGGATGGAACAGCAACACTCAACCTTCTAACCTTTCACATCCTAATAACAGCAATACTATTCTTTTTTTTTCTTCTTCTTTCGGCTTTTCCCTCTACAAGAGTCTCCACTGAGAGTCATCCTCCTCCATCTCTGTCCTCTGCATCCTTTGTCCTCTCTGACTGTATCCAGATTTCTAACATCCTTACCAATATGTCCACTGTCCCTCTTCTGGACATGTCCAAACCATCTCAGTCTGGCCTCTCTAACTTTATCTCCCAGTTGTTCAACCTGTGCTGTACCTCTGATGATCTCATTCTTAATATTTTGAAACTCTTAAGAAGAACCTCAACATCTTCATTTCCATCACTTCCAGTTCTTTCCACTGGCTTTTTGTCAGTGCCACTGTCTCCAGACCATACAGCATATCTGGTCTCACCACTGGCTTGTAAACGTTTCCTTTGACCTTTGCTGACACCCTTTTGACAGAACAGCGATACTACGAGGCAACTTGACTTCTTTTCTGGTAGATGAAGACGTTTTTCTTCTCATTCGAGGAGCTTTTTCAATTAAAAAAAAAAAATGTATGGCAAGATTCTCCGTTCCAGCGAGCTGAACTCACCTGAAAATTGCTACCCCTTCATTCCCTCCTGAGGGTCGTCAGGATCTTTTGGCCTTTTTCCATTAGCCCTACTTGGGCCGACTCGAGTCTTTCCATTGGATGGTCTCACTCGCTTCCAACTCGGTTCTTAGGACCCACTCGGCCGTGGTTCCAAGTGAGTCGAGCTGAAACACAAACACTGTGGATCTTTACGATTGTTGGATGGCATCAGAATCCAGATGTAGCAAGGCCAAATGGACTCAGCTTATGGGCCTGAAGGTTTCCTGAAAACCTTTTTCTTTAATGACTGGAAAAAACTAAATATTAGATGCACATACGGACATTATCTCTAATGTTGTTTTGTAGGTTTTTATCCATCTTGAGAAGGATTTCAGAGGAAAATGTAATTTTATAAATGTAACTTTAGGAATCACACACTAACGATGTGCTGTTTTGAAGGCAGACTGAGGAAACCTGTGCTCATTTCCTGTTTGGTTGTTACACATGAACCAAGCTTACTGTTTGTGTGTACCAATTATTTATTGTGTGAATGTTCATGAAACATTCACACCATTGCGATCCATTTTTCTTCCGTACATCTTTCAGCATCTTTCTCGTTCCACAATTTTTGTGCTAATTCAACAAATCATATATCAAAATGTTCAGCTCTTTCAGGACGATCCTGCTATGACGTTTAGTATTGGTGCAACTTTATATATATTTTTTAAATATTTAGCTTTTTCTTCACTTTTTTTCCTCATAGAAAATGAATTGAGCTCATTTTGCATCCTTCAGATCTTTCGAGTTGTTTACAACCTTTTACTGCTCCTTTCACATTTTGTTCTGGTTCAGTTTCTTTCAGCTTCCTTGTGCAAATTTTTTAAAAAATTCTACTACTTTCAGCTAATTTCAGCTGTTTTTGTCAGTTGTTTTGTGCTCCTTTCTGATTCTTTCTGCTAACTAAATTTTTGTGCTTCTTCTAACTTCTGTCGGCTAATTGTAGCTTGTTATGCTCCTTTCAGCTTATTTCTGCAAGTTTCAGCATTTTCTGCTCTTTTAGCTGCTATTTAGCTGTTTTGTGCTCAGTTTAGCTTTTTCAGCTAATTCCACATATTTTACACTCATTTCAACTTTTTTTCAGTGTAATTCAGCAAAAATGTTCTCTCCACTTTCTTCTGGTAGCTTAAGCTCCTTTCTGCTTTTTTAGCTAATTTTCAGCAGGTTTTTTTGGGGGGGCTAATTTCAAGATAATTTCCATTTTTTGTGCTAATTTCTGCTTCTTTCTGCCTCTTATGGAAAATTTTTGCACTTTCCACTTCCATCTGCTAATTTAAGCTTGTTCTATCTTTTCAGACAACTTTTTAGCATTTCTTAGCTAATTTCAGCTGTTCTGAACTAAATTTATGTTTTTGTGTTAATTTCTGTGAATTTCAGCCTAATCAACTTTTTTATGCTAATTTAAGCTTGTTACGTTCCTTTCAGCTTATTTCTGCTAGTTTCAGCATTTTCTATTTCAGCTACTATTTAGCTGTGTTTGTGTTAAATTTAGCCTTGTCAGCTAATTCCACATTCATCATCATCATTTACTTTATTTCAGACACAATATAAGATCCATATAAAAAAACATAAAAAACAACAAAAACACAGAATTGTTTTAGCTCATTTCAGTTCTTTCCACTTCCTTCTGGTAATTTCAGCTTCTTTCTGCCATTTCAACTATTTTTAGCTAATTTCAGCTTTTGAACTAATTTCCTAATTTTTGTGCTAATTTCTGCTTATTTAAACCTAATTCAGCAAATTTGTGTTCTTTCTGCTCCTGCTAACTTGGGCTTGTTCTTCCATTTCATCTACATTTCAGCATGTTTTTAGCTAATTTCAGCTGTATTCAACAAGTTCAGTATTAAGTATTCACACTGCATTTTCACAGGAAATGATGTTTTCTCTATTTGATTTTGTCCCCTGCAGCACTGTGCGCTGTCTGGGCGTCCTGAGTGGCTCGGTGCTGCTGGGGATGAGCAGAGAGGAGCTGAAGACGGTGTGTCCAGAGGAAGGAGGACGAGTCTTCTTCCAGTTACAGGCAGTCAAGTCCACCCTGGAGGCAAGTTACACATCAGCTTAATTTCTTCCCACCGTTCATCGTCATCCTGCTGGTTTGAACATTGATGGCCCTCTTTCTTTTTAACACCCAGAATGTCGGCTAAGAGACACCAACACTGAAGAGGAGAAACATCACTGAAGACAGAGACGAGCTCTGCGGGACAAAAACTGGATGATTTAAATAAGACAAAGACAAGAAAGCACCAGGTTTACAAGCTGCATAAAGTCACTTTTTTAAAATAAATTCCACTTATTTTACCAGATAATAAAAAAGTCACCTTGAAATTTAAATAAGAATGCCAAATGTTTCAAACATATATGTTAAAATGTATTTCAATTAAGATGTTGTAGGATAAAATGTAAAATATGTTGATAAATTGAATAAAATGCTCACACGCTCTGAGTCTTGTTTTGGTAACTTGGTCATCAAATGGTGACCCGTGAACCACATTTGGCACAGATGATAAAGGTATATATATATACACACATATACACACACACACTATGTACACAATGTTTTGGTTTAGTCAGTTTACAAGAACACAGACCTACTGTATATATAATATTAAACAGAACGCCAGTACTTCATCCTAAATACATACACTACATTGCCAAATGTATTTGCTCAGCTGCCTTGACTCACATATGAGTTTAAGTAACATCCCATTCCTAATCCGTAGGGTTCAATATGACGTTGGTCCACCCTTTGCAGCTACAACAGCTTCGACTCTTCTGGGAAGGCTGTCCACAGGTTTAGGAGTGTGTTTATGAGGATTTTTGACCATTCTTCCAGAAGCACATTTGTGAGGTCACATACTGATGTTGGACGAGAAGGCCTGGCTCTCAGTCTCCACTCTAATTCATCCCAAAGGTGTTCTATCGGGTTGAGGTCAGGACTCTGTGCAGGCCAGTCAAGTTCATCCACACCAGACTCTGCCATCCATGTCTTTATGGACCTTCTTTGTGCACTGGTGCACAGTCATGTTGGAAGAGGAAGGGACCGGCTCCAAACTGTTCCCACAAAGTTGGGAGCATGGAATTGTCCAAAATGTCTTGGTATGCTGAAGCAGTCAGAGTTCCTTTCACTGGAACTAAGGGGTCAAGCCCAGCTCCTGAAAAACAACCCCACACCTTAATCCCCCCTCCACCAAACTTTACACTTGGCACAATGCAGTCAGACAAGTACCGTCCTCCTGGCAACTGCCAAACCCAGACTCGTACCGTCCTCCTGGCAACTGCCAAACCCAGACTCGTCCATCAGATTGCCAGATGGAGAAGTGCGATTCGTCACTCCAGACAACGCGCCTCCACTGCTCTAGAGTCCAGTGGTGGTGGCGTGCTGTACACCACTGCCTCCCACGCTTTGCATTGCACTTGGTGAGGTATGGCTTGGATGCAGCAGCTCGACCATGGAAACCCATCCAATCTGAAGGCCACATGAAGTTTGGAGGTCTGTGGCGATTGACTCTGCAGAAAGTTGGCGACCTCTTAGCACTATGCGCTTCAGCATCCGCTGACCCCGCTCCGTCAGTTTACGTGGTCTACCACTTCGTGGCTGAGTTGCTGTCGTTCCCAAACACCTCCATTTTCTTATAACACAGCTGACAGTTGACAGTGGAATATTTAGGAGCGAGGAAATTTCACGACTGGATTTGTTGCACATGTGGCATCCTATCAGTTCCACGCTGGAATTCACGGAGCTCCCGAGAGCGACCCATTCTTTCACAAATGTTTGTAAAAACAGTCTGCATGCCTAGCTGCTTCATTTTATACACCTGCGGCCATGGAAGCGATTGAAATACCCAATTCCGATCATTTGGATGGGTGAAATACTTTTGACAATGTAGAGTACTATATATTTATTCTTCTGTATTTAGGATGAAGTACACTGGTTTTCTGTGTACTATATCATACATACAGTATGTTTGTGTTCTTGTAAACTGACAGAACATTCCTGTAGTTTAATGAAGAATCTGTGACATTCTGTTTAATATTATTTAAATGAAATCACCTTGGAGTGTGTATTTTTTCAACACTAACAAAAAGTTGTTCAATTTGTTCTAAAATTTTTCATCATTATGCATTAAAACACACAAATATCCAGCCTGTCAGGGTTTTATTACGACTACGTCTCCAGATTTACCAATTCTTCATTTTTCAGTGACTTATTGATGAATTTTGCAACAAAGTAAACATCAAAAAATAAACTAAAGTGTTTTAAAATAGCATGTTAGGACACTAATCAGGCTCAACTAATTAATCAATTTATTAATTCTTTTTTTTCCCTCACAGCATTTAAGAAAAATTTGATCTCTGGAAAGTTTTGTAGGTGACCTCGGCTGTAACTTGTAAATAAAATCAAATCTGAACAAATTGAGTGAATTAACATGCTTTATTATTTTATTCACACATGATTCACAATCCTGTAAAACTGGTGTAAAATGCTGGCAGCTCATGTCAAGCAACAGTAAAGCTACAGAATAACGTGAATCTTTAAAAAGTGACACGACTGAATGAAAACAAAACTCTTTACGAAAAAAAGACGTGTTTTTAAAAAGAGCAGGTGGGAATAAATCATGATAAACATGAAAAAACTGTTCGTGCTGAGAGTAAACTATGCACGTGTGAATATAACTACCGGTAGTAGATTGTATTTGAGTTTCAAGTTTCTAAAGTGGTGAGGAAAATTTATTTTTTTTAATACTGTTTGCTTTTATCTCCACTGAGACAAATCAATCAATACTCTTAAATTCCTTCATCAATGTAAATAAAATAAAATAAAAACATATTCACATTTAAAAATGCTTGACTTTTTGATTTAAGGTAGTTTTCTTATATTTTAATTGCAGTAAACCTTCGTTTTTATTCGTAACCACTGGTTGGGTAAAAGAAAGTTTTAGAACTATTAAAAAATGTAAGCAACTTTTTAAACCTACTTCAATTGACAGAATACTGATAAAATAAAATAAAATAAAATGCAGTTTTTAATGTGACCACGCTGTTTCTAAGGACCATAAGATGTACCGTACGGTAGATTAATATCTGTGAGGTAGGACGCACTGAAGAGGTGGCAGAAAAACAAACAAAAACAACAAACAACGAGTGTGAGACTACATAGAAAAGGTTCTGGTTCTGCCATTACCGGGACTGGACTGCTTAAAAAAAATAGAACATGAAACATGGTAAAAAACCGGAACCGAAGCTGAGCTGTGATCAGTTGAAGGGCAGGCGAGTTGCCCTCGAATAAAAAAGAAAAACAAGTTTTACAACAGTTTGAGCTGAAAACAATAAATCTTTCACGTCTGTCGGTGACTTTAAATCAAAGACAGCATCTAAAATGGACCTTTTATTTGCGGTAAAACAGGAATGAAACAAATTTTTAGGGAATCTTGCTACCGTGAATCACACAGACAGAGCAGGCACTAAAATATTACGCCTAATTACTTGTTAGAACCAACAAAATTAAAATTATATATTAAAAATATATATATTAATGACATAATGCTCATTCACAAAAACAGAAATAAAAGCCAAGCATTGGTTTTGAAGATTAAAATACTGGAAATAATAAAAACCTTGTCTCTAATTTGTCTCTAAAAACCACAAAGCTAACGATCACACACGTTTAGCACTCAACTCCAGAGCATCCGTAAATGCTTGGAAGCTACAATCTTATTTTACTGCACTTTTTTTTTACCCTTCTTCATAAAACTAGCTCAACATTTGAATACTTTGCAGGTTCATTTTCAAAAAGAAGCCGGCCCGTTCCGATTAATTCTTTGGTTTCTGGCTACAAAAACCACCCAACCCAAAACTCACGGTCTGGTGTGAAGTTGTGCGGTGTGATACAAAAATATGATGCCAGACTATATCTGGTTTGGAACGGGTTAAAAAAGGAAAACTGCTACAGAACCACGCGGCAAGCTAAACCAGGGCCCAGCGTGGTTCGCTGATTCTGAATCCGTTTGCTTCGCTGCAAAACAAAGAGATTCAGAATGAAGAACAGGTCTGAAGCGTTTCATCCCAGCTGGGTGTAAACAGCTCGTTCCTTCCTGTCAGTCATGCAGACGTGCAGAAAAGCAGCTGCACGCAGAGCGCAGGCGTCAGAGGCTACCTTAAATCAAAGATGCTGATTTGTGGCGTTGTGCGTGCGCTGGCAGAGAGAGAGCGAGAGAGAAATTTAAAAAACGGGTCATGCAGCACTCAGAAATGAAAAGGCACTGTCAAGTTCAAGCTCGGTGCTGATGAACGGTTTACTGCATGCAGACACTTCTGTTTGCAAGTTTGCTCAGTGGAACAGAAGCGAGGCTGATCAGAGTCCCACTGACGTGCAGATGTCGCGACGTGACAGCGACGGTTACATCATTCATTCGTTCGTTCGTTCGTGCTCCACTTTTCTCCCTTCAGTCCCAGCCACGACACCAAGAAACCATCACACTATAATTTATTTCTGGGAATAATTTTAAATGCAGCTAAAAAGAAAAGCGTTAGGAATGTCTCTTAGAATCCTTCTAAACTCAGAGGTTTTCTCTCTTCATGCGTTTCCTTCTGGGCTGATTAGAATCACAGAAAAGTGATTCTGAGTGTGCAATTTTAGCAAATAATCTCTAAACACACCAAGCATCAAACATGGCTGACATTCAGTGCTGCAGATCTGACAAGAACCTTGATAAAGTTTGCTCCTGTGCAGGTAAGTTCGACCTCTAACCGTGTTTCACAGCTGCACCTCTGATCTGTTGCTAGAGTACAAAGAGAACAGTAAGCAGCAGAAATGCACGGTGGAAGTGAAATTACACTGAAATGTAAATATTGTAATATCACTGTTTCTAAAGCAGGAGTGAACTGTAAAAAGAAGGTAGAGGTCGAAACTAAAATCTAAATTTATTTCCATAGTTTAACAAGAATCAAAGAATGGAGCTCAGATCATCGTGCAGATCTTTAATCTTGGCTTTTTTCTCACTGTACAGCTCTAAAAAGTGCAACAAGCGTCTACACTGATGCTTGGTGGAGTTTAGAGGCCTAACAGCAGGATTACTCTCACATTACGTGTTGGGGATTCAAGGGAAGAGACGGGGGTGGCGGTTGGTGAACTGGGACCTCAGTGCTGTCCCGGGAGTGGACCCATGGTCAGAGAGTCGTCCTCTTCGACACCGTCCAGCTCCTCTTCTGTGCGCACAGCATGAGTTATGAGGTGCAGCTCCTCGGTGAGGGTCTCGAAGCGGTACGCCACTCGGATGTCGGGGACGTTGGTGCGGCGGATGTCGTTGCTCTCAGGACCCTCCCGGTAATAACTGGGGCCGAGCCAGTAGCTTTTCACCTGCAGGTTAAAGAAGCTGCACGAGTCAAAACTGAAATCTTTTAGAAACATTTGCAGCAAAGTCTGGTTCCAGTAAACCGTTAAGGAAACAAAAGTACATTTACAGCAAAGCTTTGGCTCAGAGGCTTTGAAGTCTGTGGGAGGAGAGTAATGCAGTGGTTTGCAGCTGTTCAAGACCAGTTGAATCAAAACGTTGAGAAAATGAACCCTTTTTTTCAGTTGGAGTTTCACTGAACTCTGAGTGACAAGCGACCAGCGAGCGGTGTGGCCGCATTTTGAGAAGCCAGTTTCTAAAAATCACAGCCCATTTTTTGAGCATGCAGCTTACAAAACTGTAAACTTGGCCGTGCACTTTTTCTCGTTGCCCACCTGTACTCGTGTTGTACCTGCTTCAGAAGCCCACCCAACGTTTATTTCATCGAGTTAGAAATGAAGACGGACAAATTTAGACCAGTTGTAAAAAATAATTAATACTCATTGTAGACTAGGCATTGGAGGCTGTGGCCTCAGAGAGATCACGTTTACCAAAGTGCACATTAATTATAACTTTACAGCAGATGGCAAACTAGAATGTCTAATTTACAGAAGCAAACAGTTGTCCTGTGCAGCTCCCCCATTGTGTAAAACTTTTTCTGTCGCAGTCGGAACAGGATAATTACAAAAAGACTGAAGCGTTAGCAGAACTGTGCCACACTTCTCTAAATCATGAATTGATACTTGTATGATTTCTGATTTATACATGAAGGGTTCTAAACTAGTTTACCTTGTTGGAAAACCCACTCATCAGGACACTGTTTCGTGCCAGCTCACACATGTCGCATGAGCTCAGTTTCCACACCTGAGCTGCAATGCTGTACTCCTCCATCAGCGGCTCCTGGACACAAAGGGAACATACATTTCACACATCTGCACACATCAGGACTGTACTTTTATCAGCTGCATGCAAGAGTAGGACTGAAATGATCTGATACAGACTTTGGTGAAGTGGAACTGAAGGGGGTCGTCAGTGGACAGAGAGATCATGAGGCCTCTGGACAGATACTCTGGCAGCGGGTTGCGGTGGTAACTGAGGAAAAGGCTGTTGTTACTCAGCGGCGACATGGCAATGCCGATCTGAGCCAGGTAGTACAGGTACTGAAGTACCGGGGCCTGAAGAGCAGGAGAAGCAGCTGTGAGTTAAATTTCAGCACCACAGTGAGAACAGACCTCGTCTTACTCAGCAGAAATCTGAAATCTTTAATCCAAGCGCTGAAATATCCTCCTCTAGTAAACCTAATACAGTAGTCCCTCGTTTATCGCGGGGGATCCGTACTCTGAAGCCCCGCAATAAGTGAAAAACTGCTAAGTA